TTGAATGCTCGGAATGAAATTTGCTCTGGCAATTTCATAAATTACAATTTCGTACGTCCTTAAGTGATATCTTATTTTTATTATCCCCGTTTATTACCGAAAGAACAAATAAAATATATCCATTTACTTAATACGATTGCTGAGCCTACTCGCAATTTGAATATTTCATTCGATTATTTGTTTATATATAATTCTATTATTCAAATTTATAATTTCACTGCCGGAAGTTTTCATATGCAATGCATAAATGTATGCGCTCGTAGAGAATCGTAGCATTTAGCGAAAACCGTACTGTAAAATATTATTGCATACTGTTTGCATATATGATAAGATTATTATTGGAATATGTTACACTAGAGGGTTTCCTGGACGATGCCCATTACATATATGAATTGTGACAAGTTGAAGAATTGATATATTAATTTCTAAGCATGCATAGAAAAATCTCTAGATGAAACTACCATATACCATTATACAAATTGAACTGATATTGAATTAGGAAGCTTAAATTTAAGTTTTTCTTGTACCATCAAAAGATCTAATTATTACAAAGGGGCCGTAAATTTTCTTTTCCTCGGATGATGAAAGTCGTCGTTGGCAAAAAAAATCCCCAATCGTATTATTTCCCAAACAATCAAAAAATTCTCATTATCTCTCACAATAACAATCCCCAATCAAAATAATCGTTAATAATGCGCTGACGCTGCTGCTGATAAGTATTTTTTTCCTCTACTCGAACTCATATATAAATTAATTTGCTTTCGTCCTCTTTTAAAGTCTTCTCGATATAATTTAGAAAGGATGTTTCGTAGGGGTTGTATTTTTTATGTGCAGATATTCGCCACCCCTTAATAAGGGAACGGAAAAAAATGAGTCACGAAAGCACACCCTCGAGTCCTTATTCTCTTAAAAAAACCCACGGTCTTAGCTTTAAATTATTGATCCCCAATCCTGCTACTCCTGCTCTCTGACCAATATTCCCCCAAATAATACACGAACCTACGAATTATTACGCTCGAATATACTGCAGAATATGCAGGCTTAGAAAATGTAATTCCTCACATAAAACGTTTCCTGCTAATTAAATAATAAAAGTATTCTAATTAGAAGGTGCAAAGTTTGCGAAAACAACGCGATCAAATCGTTGTATAGCGAGAGAAGAGATCAAAGACAAAGTCGCCGAAAATTCCTGTCGTGGATGTTCCTCCGCTTTGCGGAATGTTCCCCCGCATTTCTGCCTTCCGAATTGGCTCAAAACTGTGGCGAAAATCCTAATTAAAATAGCACCGAGAGAGGACCGACTCGTTGACCGAGATTGCTCCGCTTAGCGCGCTTAATTGCTTTTAATTGGCTTCGCAAGCGCGGCTCGAGGGCTAATTGTCGAAATTAACATTCAACCAACCCTTTAACCACTTGTTGCGCGAAACGAAGGGGTTGAGTTAATGGGTATTTTACTTCTAATTAACGACTGTCATATTGTTTGAACATCGCTCCGACAGCTCAAAACAGATTGGAGTTTAAAGTTGATGTTTCGTTATCGCTCGAATTAAATCGTAATAAAGTCAAGTTTCGCGCTATTTGAACGAGGAAGGGTTGCGATTTATGCCGCTTTTATAGCCCTTTTTGTTTGATCATCAACTTTTCATTGTAGTATTGTCGTGCTTAGAGGAATTAAAAAATCGTTTAAGCTAATTGTTTAGTGGATTTTTCGTCCGTTTCATGATGATTTTACACCCTACATATGGGATTTTTTTTATTTGAAGTTGTTACAATACATTCAAATATCGATTTTATAAAGCAATAATAACGCGCATAATTAACGAATCAAGGGCGAGGTACAGTCCAATTAAAAAGTTTAAAAACTGTATAAAAAAGTGATATTTCAAAAACGACCAGTCGAATGAAATAAAAAAAACGAGTTCCATTAACAATAAATCGACAGTAAGAGTGCAATAAATGTGGCCGAAATTACATTTGAGGCACTTTTTAATTACATCGCGGTTTTGATTAAAAAATCCGGAGTCACATAAAAAAATAAATTGCCTATTTAATTGCGCTCGCTCGCAGGAATTCGCCAGGAGCAACGATTGAGCCCGGGTCGAAGGATACGTTGGGCGACTGCGTGGGGACTGCGAGGGTTTCTTAAAATTTACTTTTTCGCTCCGCGAGTTATAATAGCGAGGGGTGGCTCGCCTTAAGGGTGAGATATGGATTTTTGCTTCCGACTCCGGGTTTTCTGAATTATAAAATATCTGTTCGGTTATTCGCTGCAACGCGGAACGACTTTATTGAAAATTAAAAAGTTTCAAAGTTCGATTCGCTTTGCAAGTCGGATATCTCGTGCAAATGCAATTAAAACGCGCCGTTCGAAATCGGTGATCGATCACCGAAAAACTCCAATTACAATTATTTGAATAATTGAGACGTCTAATCCAATCTCCCGACCGGAAAGAACTTTCTTTCGCTTCTCTTTTATATCATTTGTCGCGTTTCCTTTTAAGAATTTTAATTACTAATTATTCGATCACTTCCACAGCGCTTTTTACACAACAAAAACTTTTCCGTACTCTGTACACGTTCACATATTTTTATATCTTTCGACTCGATATCGGAGCGTGATAAAACCTCGATTTCGAAAACATTTAAAAAGTTCGATATAAACTCAACATTCAATACCGTCGATCTCTAAAATGCGATGTGTCAAAAAGTTTTATGCCATCATTAAAAGTTCGGGATCTTTCACGACGAGTCCTTCTAAACAAACGTTAAAAAGTTTAAAAAGATACGCTAAAATGTGATACTTTTAAATAACGACTTAATAGAGAGGAAAGCAAACTCTATTCCAAGTATTAATGAGTTGGGAAACAAACGGCCGGAACGTGTAATGAAATATGTCATTTAGATAAAATTTTTAACAATTTTCTAGGGATACTGTTTCTTTAATTGTTCCGAAAGAGTCAGGGAAAAACTTAGACAAATGTATAAATAATATGGAAATTCATTTAAATTTCATTTATGTATATCGAAATAGCGGATAATTCGAAAGTGGAATAATTAAATCCTTGAAAGGCAGAAATGTACGGGCGGCTGCTTCCAAAAATAGTAACTCAACTTAATAATCTAATTAGTAAAACAAAGTAAAGTACGATGGACTGACATATCAAAAGTAACGATCAGATTATAAAAGAAGTTTATGCAAAGTAATCATCCTAAATTGGTTATCTGTCACTCTCCAATTAACGTTTCATTAACGAATAACGAACAACGATACGAAATAAAATAAGGGGCCACATAACATTTTGACTTTGTTGTACTTTTAAATGACATTCTAGAAACGCCTCCACGGTACCATGACAATTGATACAGTGTAAATTGTTTGTGTAATTATTTTAACGAATGTATCCCTATTAAGACGCTAATTACAATTTGTTAAGCACTGTTCACGCCATAATTAGCCCTGACGTCACATCCGCCTCATAACTCTTCCTGTTTTAAACACTGGCTTCTAATTTGGACAGATTTTCTAATTGCTGCCATGATTCAAGCTCGAAATGAGTTAATTTGTTTACGACAAATTGAATTAGGCTCCTCACACCCACTCTAATCATCGCATGGCCTAGAATGTTTCGCTCAAATTATTTTAGCCCGTACACGATTCTATTACCATACGAAAGAAATCTAGGAAGATACGAAATAGAATCGGTTTCATCGAATAATCATTATTCACGATAGAAACTGTGAGTGGAATAAACAACATACCTACTCCATTAGAATTTAACAAAGATAAGATAGATGTCGATATAGCGTCCGTTACAGAAGAACTTGTGACCAGACAAGAAGAAGTCACCGATGATTACAGGTATAAATTTCTAGGCCGACTGGAATAAAAGCAGATCCGGTGCCACATGGTCTTGTACGAATTAGTATCAATCAGTGGCGTACTAAAAATTTGTAAATTGCATCCAAAATTTAATTGAAATTAACTAGACGGTAAAACTATTATCAGTTTAAATAAAAATTATTCCCATTGTGCATGTCTTTATATAGAAATGTTCTATCCAACATCAAACTTAGGAAATTATAAATTATTTCTTGTGGTGCGTTGCGACGCTGGATGGAGTTGTGTGTTTGTATACTATGTATAAGGATTCTTTTGGATTAAAAAGTGTTTAAAAGCTGTGCTGCCCACTCAAAAGACACTAATTTATTTTATTGAGTCCAGTCAGCTCCATAGCGATATAATTTGGGATTATTTATATGCTGCTCTAACAACTACTTGGGATAGTCGTAAATTTACATACTAATAATAGTAGAATTGATAAATTCTGTCGCAAAGCGTAATCGATTTAAATTATACCTATATTTTTTCGGGTAATGGGACAATACAATTCTTAACTATACGTATTAAATTGGAAATCAATATACTTACAGTGAGGTTATAATAGAATTTTTTTTTAAACTGTCTTGGTAAAAAATATTGTCACAGTACATACGGTTAAATTAAATGTATTAATAAGTCTTTTAAAGAGACCATTGATACAAAAGTAAAAGTAGTTTGATTAATGTTTATAACTACTACAATAATTGCAGCATGCCTGATATGCCCGCTTTTAGCGAATAAAACTATAAAAATCTGCCTATTTCGATTTTAAAGAGGTTTCCTTTTCCTTATTTGTTCAGATTGCCATTTTCATGCATTAATTAATCTATGTTCGTTTTCTACACTGCCAATTGAAGCTAACTATAAAAATAATAATAAATATTCAGGTAAATTAGGATATTATGTCTGCGATTTAAACCAATTTAATATTTTTTTACACTGCTGCTGATATTGATTACCTAATGAGGGTTACGAGAATAATTATTTATATTTTTTTTTTGTGTTACTGATCCAACAATAGATAGTAGATTACCTACATAGTTTTTAATTTTTGTCAACACTATTTTTATGGGTAGTATTATTCAGTGTAATTATAAATTTGGTTTTTCCGTTGTTTCAGGCGGAGCCGGGGGATTACTACTAGATACAGGTTCCGGTCCCTCGTTCCTTCCTCTGCCCGGTCCGGTACTAGAACAAGTAGCAGCCGGTAACTCCGAACCGGGCGTAACAACATTAAAACTTCCGGATACTTTCCAGCGTCCTCACGATTTTTCCGTGCGCGACATCGACGTAGAAGTGTGTTTCGTGTGCAAGAAATGCCGATTGGCGTTTCCCGGCGAATCGCAGCTGCTGACGCACCAGCGGCAGTGCTACGGCGGCAACCAAGAGAGCCGCGGAGCCTTCCGCATAGTGCAAACCGGCTACGAGTGCAAGAGCTGCAACCACGAGCGCTTCAAGTCCCTGTTGGAGTTGAAGAAGCACTGCGAGAGCGAGGCTCATCTCAAAGCCGGCCACGGCGCGGTTACCGCGAACAACGCCATCGGCGGCAAGATGTTGCCTCCTCCGGAGTCGCCGCTCAGCCACGAAATGGAAGACGTCGTCAATCAGATAACGCTTTTGGCTGCGAGAGCGGCCCAGGAGTCGCCGCAGCAAGTCGTCGATTCGAATTCGAATACTTTCTGCCAGCCTTCGGACGCCAAACGGAGGTTCCTGGCGCCCAACGATGTCGCCCAGCCGCTCACCACTGGGCATTAACTTCAGTCGGATTGTACGTACGAGCAGCTACGTCAAAATCAACTGCATTGAGTTGAATAGGTTTCGTGCAATAGGGGTGCAGTTCGATGCTGTTCCCGTAGACCTTTCTCTTAATGCCTACACGAATCTTATAGTATAATGAAAAATTACGTGTGTCGTTCGAACGCAAGTTAGCTCAAAATTAGTTGTCGTTTGATTTTCTGCGGTTGGTTTTGAGACGTTTAGCTTAGGCTACCGGAGATCGAAAGGTGATTGCGGTTAAGTCGCTTTAGCTAGCATAGGAACTCATTCCAAAATTTAACTTCAAAACATTGAAAAAAAAAAACAATTCAGTTAGTTGTTAGACGTAGAGGCGAACGTAATTTAATTTAAATAATTTAGTTAAATGGATCTTTGATTTTTAACGATGAACTCACAAGATAAAAACTTGCTAATTGTGGTAATATTAGAAGCGTTTGCTTCTAATAGAATTAGTTCGGAAAATCGAAGTGATGTTGAGTAGATAAAAGATTTTTTTTTGTGTTACAAAAAAATTAGGAAAGGAAACAAATTCGCCTCTTGGTCTATGAAAAACTAATGTACCATATATATTTTTAGAACTCTTATGTTATATTAGTAGGTGTGTCAGTGTAGTTATGTATATGTTGTATAGTTGAGTAGGTCCGATGATTCCTATTGCAACGTATAGTTACTAATTAGTTGAGGGCTTCTGCTGGCAGGTTTCCGGACAGTCCAAGCAGTTGTCAAGTTCCTGACTTTCTGTGTATATCAAACTGCGACATAAAATGTTCCTATGTTCCTAACGAGTTGTAGATACTGCATGCGGTACCCCTTCGAGGGTCCAGTGGGCCAATTGTGCCCAGTAAAACAAGTTCCTATCGGCCACGCTCGACAGTTCCTCAAACGACTCGCAACGAGTGCGGCCGCTTTTTTATTCATTATTATTAAATTATTACAAAAAAAACTTTTATTATTATTACACTAATTATTAAAGTTGATAAAACAAATGGTGTATTTATCATATTTATGTATATGTAACTGAATATATCAGCTGGTAAAGAGTTAAGAGGAAAATGCTTCACCAACACCTCTGCCCAGCAGTAAAAAAAATTGGTTCCTACTAATAATAATCGATACGGTGTTTTAAGTAATAATATAGTTATTATGTTTTATCGTTGGTTTTCACCGGCATTGTACGTATATATAGTAGTAGATATATATTAAAAATTTAAAATATATTAGGTTTACGTATCCAAAATAACTCAAAAATGGGAAATACTTCGGTATGACCTGCCTCGCATAATAGTGAGTTTCTTTGGAACTAAGTGTGATTGTTGACATAGCGCAAATCATCTAAAGCTCCACGTTTTACATTTCAATTCGACTAATTCCCCACACCTCCTTATAATCAACTAGCAATTACATCGAAACAAAAAAATATATCCGATCTATAATTAAAATTATTAAATCTATCTACAAGTTAACGACCTCGAATAATTTCGGATGTGTCCAATTATTTCTGATATACACTTACAGAAGACCGCAACGCGTCTAATTTCTTCCAGCGCTCCTAAATTCGGTGAGTATATATAATTATTTTTTTACCCATTTCTACACTAATTTAAATTTTATACTTGTAATTTTCTACTATCTGCTATTAAAGAAATATTATTTGTTCTTTAGAGAAATCTTTCTTCTGGTCAATTTTGGTGAATACTATCTAGATACTAAATGTTGAAGGGTGTTTTTGCAGAAAATTTAAGTGGATTATAAATGTGGTAAAGTTAAAAATTCTTATAAAGAGAATTTGTATACTATAAATACTAATATTATATTGGTCAAATTAAAATCAAAATAATTCTTGAAAGGTAAAATTGATTTGGTATATGAAATTTAAATTTCATTACAGTGGACATTTCAATTTAAAAATATTTTTTAATTTTATCAATATTCTATTTTAAATAGTCTACAAATTCCTACGAGAATGCAATAAAATATTTACATTTTCATACTAATAACCTTTAATTTATTTAACACGTTCCTAGGAATTACAGACCGATAGAAATAACTGTAGACCTGAGAGTACGATGCGCAACGGTTTATATCGATTTGTCGCGTCGTTTACGTCTTCAGATATTCCTATTGAACTGTAGGCACATGCTTTTAAAAACAATTACTAAATTAATTACATAGATTCTAATCTTTTTAATTGATTAGACAATATAGTATAAAGAAACACATTGTTGGGTTTTGATTTCGATTATAATGAATCGTAATTATTGATTGAGAGAGTAATTCAGGAATAATAATTGAAAATTAAAACGTTGGAACTTGGAGATGTTGTAACTGACGCAAACTAGCAATGCTAAGTGAATGTGACGTGAGATTCCTCACTGTCTGATGTATTACACGATTATTATTACTATTCATATTTATTATATTATTATTACTATTATTGCTATGTTTAAAGCAGTCGTGTGTATTCGGTTGATTAAAAATATAAATAAAAAATAACTGCTGGACCTGTGAGTCCTGTTTCGTGGTTCCTATTATATAATTCATATCGCAAATGTAAGGTGGACGACAGCAAATCTGTTGATTTTTTTTCCTATTCTTTCGGTACTCGTTCCTTTTGATTCATTTTACTTTTATATACCTCGAGAAACTAACAAACATTTTCGGAATGTTCTAGAATCTCTACGTGAGCTCTCTTAACAGGACAATACTCGCTTCTTGTAGTAAATTTTTTACGGTAGCTCTCTCGAATGTCAGGTTGTTGCATATTCGCGTTCATCTAAAAGTCCTGCTCGAGAAATTGCTCATTCTTGTTCCTTTTTCCACAGCGCAGGAGAAACGTGGATGAATAATTTTAATGAGGATGAACGCGAATTTATTTCCTTCTTCTATTTTTACAAAGATGTAACGGTTTTAAAAGTGTACCCACTAATCCCATAACTCGAATGGCTTTGCATGATTTATTTTACTTTTCTCCTAATTTGTTTTATCATCAGTTTATTTATTTATTTTTTTGAAACATCTACTTGTATATTGTTTGAATTTGTTTTACTGGTTTTCATCGTGCACGATTTTTGTATATATTTTCTTGTTATTATTTAGAGCCTATTTTAATTTGGACCCTCAACCTTGTTATATTATTTGTTTTCGTTTTTAAGCAGCGTGCAGATATCTCACCTTTTTATAATTAGCAATTCGTTTTAATTGTTATTAATAACGTTTTTGAAAACGGGGAAATTGACTTTGTTTATAGCCAGTAATTAATAAGGCGAAAAAAGGAACATCTTTGTAAATATATCACGAAGTAACTTAGTATCTAAGTGTTGAATACCTTTTGTACATTATTTTAATTTAGCATTTACTTTTTCAAATGTTTGTATGATTTTTTTTGCTACGCAAGACTTGACAAAACAGTGATTTTAGTTTTAAGTTTTATAAATCCGACGCATAGGTAATTTATTTTTGTGATGTATATATTTTTATTTAAATTTTAATTTTTTTCCGCAGAAGAATGTATGTTTGAGAGGGTGCGCTCGCTATTTTTACGCTGTTTCCAACTATAATAGACAAAATACAAAAATGTTAACTAATTCTATCTGATATTATTTCATCGACTACTGTAATACAAATATGGATTGTTATTTATTTTATACCTCATCTTTCGAATAAAAAAACAAAGGTATTGTTCCGTTATTTTTCAAAAGAATCGGATGAATATTAATAATAATATTTCCTAGGTAAATGTTTGTATCCTACGGCTTTAGCCGCTCTCAATTTGTGAGTGTATATGAAAGTCAAATAAACTAAATAGTTTATCATAATAATGTGTATTATTCATAAATCCTTTTCTATTTAGGAATCCTATTCTATTTCACACGAGGGTTGATACTACTATTTATTTCATCGCGACAGAAAAATTTACTAAAAAAATGTAAGTATTTCAGAAGAAACTTCTTGATTTATATTACGATAAGCAACAAAAAATGTCGAGAAAACGAATTCTCAAAAAGACTAAAATTGCACAAAAAATAAATTAAACGTTTAAAAATAAAACGCTTTAATCTGAAAATTACTTTTGACGTGCTTCTTCATTTCACAACGAATTCGATAAATCATCTTCTAAATTGAGTTACCTATTAAAATCGAAAACATTTATTAGCCGTACCTATGTATGTTTTAAATCGGTGCTCTCATCGAATAGGAAATGTTTCAGCGAGATTATTTAAGATTATTTGTTATAAAATATTATGCGACCCCGGGCGATCGTAATTATAATTAATGCGCTAGATTAATCCTTCACTTTTCAAAAGCTGGAATGAAAGTATATAATTACGCCGATTAAAATAGTTTCTCATACTTAATTTCTTAAGAAATTTTACGGCATGTATAAATTTTTACAAGTTTATTATTAAACTATAAACTTTACTCGAACATTATTCACAAATTACAAACATAAATTGTTTTATTTAATTATCCTTCGTAGGCAAACGCCTAATTTAGTTATAAAGATTGTTGTTTCAATATAAACGCTCATATTACTAGAAAAAGAAAGATAAATGAAGGTAGGAAATGCTCATTCGAATTAATAATATTCAAGTGTATTTATCTCTTATATTTTTGCATTGTTTTGGTCTTTAAATGGTATTTAATTTTTTATCCAATAAATTGTATAATAGCATCTTTACGGTTTCAAAAACGAAACAGAATTTAATATTGATGAAACACTTCAAATTGTATATTCTACTTTTGTGGAAATAATTAATGTTACAAAGTCTTGTAGTCTTCAATAATTCAATAACAAGTAGGTAGGTATGGATTTTGCGGTTCGCTAATTGATACCTCCCGCCCGTTGAATATTAATGTATTGTAATAGAGATTTTTCTCGAGAAGTTCCCTGCTCCCGCCATTATCATACTAAATTAATAATGGGGCATTATAATTTCGAAAAAACCCTATAATTAAGGCAATTATGAAATATAAGGCCCTGGATATTCTTAAAAGGCTATTTGAAGTCTACGCTGAAATCTGCTTTGCCAGGAAAAAAGGAAAGCCGTGTTTATTTTTCATCAGTTGGATTTTTAACCCTACGCAGTCGACCAAGCGTTTTTACTCGAAAACGCCGGTCTATTTTCCACAACAAATATTTGTTCCGCTGGATATTTGATCCTCACCTAGCGTATATGTGTATTTTGGGTTCGATTATAGAAAATACACATGGAGCTGCAGTGAATATCAGCAAGAAAACGAAGGAAGCATGGTGCAGGATTATTAATGTGGAAAATAGCGGCACAGGAAAAATCGGAAAAGCATGCAAAAATATCACGTCACGTACTTCGACTTTTGTTACGTTTTTTTCTAATTACGCGATTTTTATTTTCGTACCGTCGTTGCAATTCTGAAAAAAACGCAACCATTAACAATTCCTCCGGTTCCATCTTAATCCGTCTTTATCCGTATCGAACGGCGTGGAGGAGAATCTACGGAGTGATATCAGCCGTGGCCTAGAGCAACTTCACGGATACGAATAAAATTATATAGAGATTTTATCCTCGATCATTAAGATTATTAAGGGCGGTGCAAACGGTCAAACAGGTATTGTTCGATTTTGATAAATTGTCCGAGATGTTTACTTGGTCCGCCGTAATCACGTAATGACATCCACGGTCAGCGAAAAATCAGTAGCGCCCGTGAATCAGCGAAAGTCACTGCAGTATCAAAATTTGCTCTATAACCATGATTGATTCGCTGATTGATTCATTGATTGATAATATTGTATGCCGAAGGTATGTATCACTATCACAAAGTACAAATTTCTTGTATTTTTCAACGTTTTAAAAACTAATTATGTGAAAAAAAATACAAGTACATCCTGTTGTAACTTTAGTTTCTAATAATTCTTTGTTCTAGTTGAATATTATAAATTATCGACTTTCGTATTCTCATTGTTGGCAGCAGGCAATTAAGTACCTACAATGCTACAAATTACAAGTTATACCCCGTGGTAATTGGAAAAATTTAACAAACCCGGAGTATTATTATCAGTGATTTGCGCGGAGTAGTATTAATTTATTTATGAATTTTATTCAGTATAGTATAGCTGATGACCTTTTTATAATGACCCTGTGGAAATGAGACATAAAGGAATAATAATTTTTGTTCATTATCCTTAATTATCCGATTGAAACCGCCAACAAAATACATATTACCAATCGATTGATAAACGATAAAAATTATGATTGTGCAGGAATATGAGTTTACTTCGGCGCCTCGACTAATCGCCCTACACTAGATTTTAATGGCAAGTTTATTCAATATTAGTTGTTTTTTCGTATTTTCTGGTTTATTTGTATTAAAATTCTCATCCATAATTCCAATTGTTTAAACAATGACTCTCACACGAAGCTAAATTATTCAGAAGTTTATTCGTGACAAAATCAGTTTTTAAAATCTATATTGAGTGGATAGACAGAATGAATTATACAGAAATCCATACAGTGATTAGAGATATAATTATATCGCATTTCGATTGATCTTTCCTCAGGCACTATAAATTATATTATATTCGGAAAAATTAGGGTTAATAAATAAGAGTTGCCAACGTTTTCCAATAATCGTCTGCGACATCTTGAGGCCTCCGAAAAGTTTGTTCGATCGAGGCATTTTCCGCCCCAGCGAGTGACAAAATAATTAAGGTCCGACGTATTTGTATTGTAATTTTGCGCCGGGAGAGCGGACGGAACTTTTTTTAACTTGTACTTATCTCGCTTTTTCTTTATCGTTAATTGCAAGGCCTGATTAATTTTTAATAAGATGCGGTGAAGGCCGGCTGTGGCACAACTGTTCTAATTATATGTTTTCTTTGGACGAGGCGGCGGAAGATAATTGGCTGCAAGAAAATTGGGCCATTAAGATCCTTATATTTACGAAGGGTGGTTTATTTTATAACAAGAGTTATGGATTATAATACCGCACCGAGGGTTATGTACGCTAAGATTTAAAACGTATTGTTTTAATTTTTTTTCTTTGCTTAACAAACATAATTACTTTATCAACCACGAGAAAAGGAAAAGTTTTTAAAAAAGAAATAAACTCGTTACCAAACTTCCTTTTCGTTCGAATTTTTTCGACCTTAAGCAGACGTTAAAATTTTTCAAGACTGTCGTCGCTACTTTAAAATCTAAGTTAATTAATTCAGTTACTTCAGACCGTGTTAATTTCATTAGCATTTTAACGAATAATTACGGACGGAAAAGTGTTTACACAATACTTGTTGTTAATGCGAGATTTGTTTGAGATAGCAATTTGTTCACTAATTATGGGTATTAAAGAAATTAACACTTCTGTTTTTAATTTAAAATAACTCTCAGGTTCTAAGAAACAACGCAGTTCCATTATTACGAAATGAGTATACTCAACATTTTAGAAGTATGTAGTGTTTATTCTAATTAAAAAATTTACTAATAATAACCTTTATCATTCAATTTTATCGATACAGTATAGACATATCTGGCTCTATATGGTATACATACATTCCAGCACGGAAGAGGCCTGATTGAGTCTCTCAAGATGGCGCTGCTAAGTGCAATGAATAAAACATCAAGAGCTTGTAGAGAAATATTGAAAATTGAAAAGAGTCTCACAGGAACGGCGATAGACTCAATCGACGTCATTATGTAAAGATCCTGAATATACAGAATGTAATACGACGACTGATATGTAGGAACACCGATGAGAATATAAGAGACACCGTCGGAATATTCGGCGTAAGAGTAACCGATTGCGTTCTGGGGTGCAATAAGTTCACTTTTACATCGAATATTTTACGATGATAGAAATAAGAATCTATTGATTGTATTGCTGTATAGTGCTGTTTACTTACTGGCATTCATATGAAATATTTGCCATATATTCCAATATCAAGGCACTTACAATGAAATTTGCAAAAACATTTCGCAAGTAGAAATATCATTCAAAATAAATGTAGTTGATAAATGATATCTAATGGTATAAAAAATTATAAATATATGGCCAGTAAATTATCTGAAAATCCATTCTCTCCCCTCGCCTCATATAATTTCATTAACCGTACGACCTAACTTATCCTTATTATTGTTTGCCATCTTTCTCGAATTATCCTTTCTCGCGGAGATTCCGTCGACATTACTCTGTGTACATAAATCCTGATAGTGATAAATCAGCCGCATCTAGCCCGGCTAGGCAGCGGCACAGACTGCGGTAAATTAACGGAAAATGTGGCGCTGCAAGAAAGTGAAATGACAACACCCATGGAATTAAAAACGTGCTTAGCGGCTTCATCACGATTCTCATTTTCCGATTACGCCCCAGCCCCGGCGCTCGATTTTCATCTAAATATTATGAAAGGATAATGTCTAATCCAATACGCATATAAGCCCTCATTCGATTATTTATACACAATGTAAAACCAATTCTGATACAACATTTAAATTATTAAATAACACCGACATGATAAAATAAAATTCTAGATGAGAAAGCTCCTGCTCAGTTCGAATTCCTCGAAGTATATAGTTAATACTATTACAAATTTTACAAAAACCAAGAGAAAAAAGCTTAGGGCGCGTTCCTTTTAAAAAGTAAAACTGAACATTATAAAGAGATTGTAAATAATTAAAATAAATTTCATTCGAAACGAAATTACAATGCCGAAATTGAATGAAACGCGAAACTTTGGCATTCTGTATTATTACAAAATGTTAGTATGTAAATGATTCGGATTAAAGGGTATATTTTGTTGCAATGCGA